CTACTGATAAATCCAAAAAGAAATGTGGCTTATGCCTATAAGAAATTGATGTTGAAAAAACACAAATATTTAAAAGTTCAACAAAGCTGCTTCTCATAATATCACTGGTATTATGTTCACTTCAAAATATGGTTATTTAAATGCATCTTTTATTTTATTTTTCTTTTTATATTTTTAGTTTTTATTAAGGGGTAAGGGAAAGCAAATAAGTTTAGCTGAAGTCCCTGGAAACTCCTTCTTCTTCTGAAAATATCTCCTTTCCCAGAAAAGCTTATCAGTCTTCAAAATGGTTTGTAACAAGTGCACTTTAATGTCAATGAAAGGGTAAAAAATGGCTTCTTACTCTCTGTTTGAATTGCTCCCTAATTCACTATGAATCAGCTCCATTCAATGGTCTAGAAACTCTCTTTTTAACAATTTAAGGGGGCAGGAAACACTGAAATAGACTAGAGCATAAAAGCTGACACAGAAATGTGTATGACCTGTCCTTGGGTAGGGAGCAAGTTCAGGTATGAGACCAGCAATCAGCCCTCACACCTTAAAGGCACACAGGCCCCCAAAAAAGCTGATATGTGCATTATGTCACCCATTAATGTGTGACTGCAAGAATGCTGGAATACAATGTTATTAAAATACAGATACACGTTCCATATTATTTTTCTTATCACCTCTCCTGAACAGTGAGAACAAATCAAAAAGGTGTCATACAAGTTCTCATTTAAAAAATAAAATAAAATAAAATAAAATAAAATAAAATAAAATAAAATAAAATAAAACAATAACAGATTTCTTCATTTCCCTAAAGGCAAAATTAGGAAAACATGCTAACTGGACAAGTTTGCAGAAAGAGGAGGGTGGAGTCTAAGAAACATCCAAAAGGACAATATTAAATAGCAAAGGTACCCTCATATAAAGCCATCCCTTTCTGATTTAGAATTTAAAAATCTACTGCATGCTGGACAGAATTTCCTCCTAAAAGTTTATCAAGAGCTTATGAGTCTAATGTGAAATATTCAGAAAAGTCAAGTAAAGGGTGGAGGTGGGTTTTCTAATGCCTGATATACTGGTAGATAATACCAATATTGAAACCAGATCTCCTGATCTATTATTTACCATGTATATTACAGAAAAAACATGCCACTATAAAGAATAATTTTATTAAATGCACAGCTTACATGTAAGGTCTCAATTTTCCATATTTTATTTTTTGAAACAGAAATAAGTTCAAGGTCAAATACTCCTGAGCCTTGCTAGATTGACATTTTGCTTTCCCTCCATCCCAGTGAAGTTGAATTAATCTGAACAAAGTAGAGCAGTAGAGGGAACCAAGAGTAAGGTCACAGAGGTACATGCAGAGCAAGCTGCTCTGATGACTGAGGGAATTTTGTTTCATGCATGAGAAATGCACGCTCACATTCCTTTAGAGAGAGAGAAAGGGTCCCAGTCTGTGTCTCTCAGCTCTCTCAACTCTAAACCCCATTTCATCAAAGTCCAAGGCCTTGAGGCCTTGTTTATGCAGTTCTGTCTTATGCAGCTGGATATCAGCTTGCATCTGTCATTCTCTGGGAAAGAAGAAGATTATTACATTAACAATTTTGTGAGGACTTTATGCCTCCACACCATTGAGCTTTTTCAGGATGTAGATGTGTACACATGCAGTGATGCAGAGGTACCTGCCTACAGACCGAGTTGCCTACAAACCCTAATCACTGGAAGATAGTTAGCTTAGGTGGCTTTGTTTATATAACATCATTTATGCTAGGGAGCATAAATACAATCGTTTAATACAGTACTACCCACCATCACTGTGTGTCGTGAATTTTGAAAAAAAATATAGTGTTCTTTAATAAGGTGTTAGTTGGTTTGGGTTGGAAGGGACCCTAAAGATCACCTCATTCCAAACCCTCTGCTATCGGCAGGAACAACAGATCATGACTTTCCTAAGAGAGAGAATGGAATGAATGGTGGAACAAGAACATACCTTCCAAAGGGATTACATTCTGCCAGCATTTTAAACCTGAACTTGATCAAGCGTTCCTGCTAAGTTTAGGATGCCACCCAGGGCCATCATCTAGAGAAGTCTTAGAGGAGTCACATTTACTCACCAGTCTGAGAAATGACTGCCTGGCCTGGTAGAGTGACCAAGAGCTGAATTCGAAAGCCAATGGTGTTAACAGGTGTTTTGCTCTTGATCTCAAGCCACATAAACAACCACCTCAGTACACTTACTGAGTTTTTGTTCCCTTTTCTCTGCCAAGGAGTGAGGCAGTGTCATTTAATCCTACTTGTCAACTTATAATACCTCCATAGGTCCTGTCTGGGCCTTGGCAGTTGTAGTTTGGCACAGATTCAGCATCAGCTCTATGCTTTCTGCCACAACCAAAATGGCAGAGATTTGCAGAAGGGTTCCTTGCCACTGGGCAGGAGGAATACTGAGTGGGGTTCTGGGGTGGGAATCAACCTTTCTATTTTTTCTGCTCTCCTGGGAACATTGTCCAGTTTCTGCAATAGTTCACTTCTCCAAACAGACCTAGGGGGACTCTCTGCTGCTAAGCAACAGTAAGCTCTCCTTCTGTGTAGGAATGGCAGCTTTCCCTGTGGTTTCAGCTCTAACGAGCACCTTCCCTGGCATCGATGGCACCACAGTCATGTTCTCCCATGGCTGTAGCAGTGCCTTTGGCCGTCAAGGGCAGCGCTGTCACTGTGGGAAGGGCTTTCTTCACACTATGTAGACTTCAGTTCCTCTCTGTCTCTTTGATGTCTGGTTATAGGCCAGAAACAGGGACAATGTTTTGGGATGTGGAGCTAAACCTTGTTGAAATAATGAAACCCCCCCAAAAAAACAGAAATCATTGCTAGAGAAAAGGGAAGCAGAGGAAGAGGTTTTGCCCGTTCCTGCTCATGGCCCGTGCTCCATAAAGGTGGCTTCTTCTCTGCAGGACAATGGCACTCAGCGAGGAAGGGCAAGGTCACTTTACCTTGACGCCCGCAGATCCGAGCAGGCCCGCCGAGCTCCCCGGCCGCGGCGGAGGCGGCGGGGCCGGTTCAGCACCCTGGACGGTTCCGGCGGCAATGGCTCCATTCCGCCCCGCCACGCCGCGGCTCTGCCCGTCGTCTGCGGCTGGCTTTTCGGGTGGGGAATTTTTGGGAGGTGTTCTTTGCGGGTAGGTTGTAAGTGGCCAAATTTGTTCCCGTGCTCCTCTGGCACTATGGCCAGCTCCGAATCCCAGTGGGCACAGGATGGGTAGGAGAGCTGTCCTCCGGCCCTCGCCTGAAGGACCTGCTTAGGAAAGTTAAAAAGACTGAGTGTACAGGGGGGTAAGGAATGCGAGAGCAGCAGGGTGTGGGTTCGCGGCTGCGAGCATTCCAACCCTCATCTTAGCACTGTGTGCTGGGCCCCCGCCTGCCCCCTCGGTGTTGCTCACTTTGTGTTTCTCTTTCTTTCTCTCTCTCTCTTCCCGCCCCGTCCCTCCGCTCCCACACCTCCCCCGCTCGCCGCAGACTCCGAGGCCTGCCAGGTCCCTCGCCTCGCTGTCAGCTCTGCTCTCCAGCCCCTTCCTGCGGCCACAGCTCCCTGCCCGCCGGCCTTGCCCGCACTTCGTCTCGGCGCCCCGTCGAGACGCCCCGGAGTCCCGCTTCTGTCCCGCGGGCTTGGCGGCGCTGCTGGCCGGCAGCGGGGCGCCCGCCCGCTGCCCGCTCGCCGCCCTGCTGCGGGGCCGCTGGGCTGAGCCGCCGCCGGCCCCCGCCCCGGCCCCGCCGCCGCCCCGCCGCCGCCCCCCGGAGCGCCGGAGATGCCCGGCGTGCCACGGAGCCGCGCCGCCGCAGCCCCGCGCTGCCCCCGAGCCTCCTGGCGCCGTGAGTACCGCTCCTGGGGCCGCGTCCACCCCTTCCTCCTCCTCCTCCTCCTCCTCCTGCTCCCCACGCTAGGGAAGCCGCTGTCCGCCCACGTGCCCTCGGCCGGCAGCGGCGTGGGACTCTCGGGGGCGCAGGGCGAGCTCCCGTGGCAAAGCCCCCCGGCGCCACAGCCAAGCCCGCTGGTCACGTCTGCCATGCCCAGCGCCCCGGGCCCGCTGGCTCCAGCAGGGCGGCTTCTGCGGCCGCCCTGCTCCGCGCCCAGTGCGCGGGCGGGAAGGGAACAGCCCCGACGGCAGCCGGGTGCCTGGCTCCGGGAGCGTTCACGCACCGGATCAGTCTTGTTTTCACGAGAAGTCAGTGTCGCTCTGCCCGGGAACGGCGGAGGTACTAGCAAGCCGCAGTCGTCCCGTTAACCCTTATCCCGGCAGACGCCGGCCCGGGGGGCTGGAGGCGGCAGATCATTATCCCCGAAACGTGGCGATGTTCCCAAGGGCGCCTCCGAGGAGCAGGGTGAGCGCCCAGCCCGGCGGCCCCCGGCACACGCCCCGCACGGAGCGCGGCTGCCGCAGCCGTGTCACACCTGCCCCGCGGAACGGGAGAGCGAGCCCCGAGAGAGCCCGGCAGCGGCGAGCCCTGCGCCGCTGGGAAGAAGGATGCGGCTAGGGGAGGGAAGACGTGAATCTTAACACGCAATTACTTAAAATGCGAGCATGTTCCAGCGCCGGGTTGACAAACCCGGCTCTCCTCTAAGGCGTCTGTGAGCCCTGAAGCACCAGCACCGAGCCCCACGGCGGCACCGCCGCCTCTCCAAGCCCTTCCCACTCCCTCCCATCAGCGCTCACACACGCACACACACACACACACACATACATACACACGCACACACTCTCCGCTCACACGCTCTCACGCCGGTCTCTCCGGTGTTTCTCCCTGCAGCGTCTGTCCCATGGCTTCCCCTGCGCCCTCCCCAGTCCGCCGCCGCGGTGCGGGCGCTGCTGTGTTTAATCCCGTTGCAAACCGGCCCTGAGCCGTAGCAGCCCCCGGTGTTCGCCTCGCCAGGGGCGACCGGCGGCAGCCCACCCCGTCGGGCCGTGCCGGGGCGGGGAGCGCGGACTGCCGGCCTCGCTGCCTCCGGCTCCAGCCACGGCGAGCGGACCCACCCGCGGCCGCACCGAGACGAGCCCGCGGGGGCCGGGCGCATGCGTGGGTCTGGCGAGCCGCCGTTCCCGGTCGCCCAGCCCGCCGGGACCGGAGGGGAAGCGTGGGAGGACGCCCGGCCGGGCCCCGCTGCCGACACCGTAAGTAGCGCCGGGTCCCGCTCGGCGGCAGCCGGGCAGGGCATCCCGAGCTCCGGGCAGGCGCGGGCTCGTCGCCGGCAGCCGCGACCCCCGCGCCGCAGCTGGAGCCGCCCCAGGTGCAGCGGGACGGGACGGGACGGGCCGGGCCGGGACGGGACGGGACGGGACGGAACGGGACGGGGCGGGACGGGGCGGGCCGCTCTGCTGGCGGTGGCCCCCGCGGCCGGGGCAGGACAGCGGCTGTGGCCGCGCTCCCCGGGAGGAATGGCAGGGACTCGGCGCAAAAGGCGTTTCCCTCGGTCTCCCGGAGGGTCGGGAGCTGCAAGCCGGGAGCGCCCGGCGCTTGGGCTCTCACCGCCACGTCCTTTCCCAGGGGCTCCCAGCGCAGAGCTGGGGTACCCGAGCTCTGACCTCGGCTCCGGGAGCGGGGTCAGGATTCCTCCCTGGGGCAGGATCACACCCCGAGCCGCGCCACCTCCGTGGCCCAGCGCAGGTAACACCTCGGCTCGGCCCCCGCCACACGCTCGGAACCCCTCCGCCTCGTCTCACGAGGATGAGGCGGCATCCGTGCCCCCGCCCCAGCGTGAAGGGGGTCCCGTGGTGCGTCTGTTCGCGGAGCCCGGGGCTCCCCTGCCAAGTTAGAGAGATAAGCAGCAACAGGCGAGTATTTCCGTAGAGAGACTTCCAGTACCAGCCTGCCTCGTCAAGCATCGTTAGAGAGAAAGAGCTCTTCCTGAGCTCTGTCATTAGGTAATGTCAGCGGGTAAGAAAAGGCAGCTAACGAAAATTGGACACAAATACAGAAAGTGAAATAAGATTATCCTCGTATACTCCAGTAAGAACCTACAGTAATTTAATTGTGGTGTAATTTACTTTATTCAACCATTCCATTATTTCATTTTTTTTCTGTAGAAAAATGTAAAATGAAAACTTTTCATGTGGCACTTGTCTCTATGATGTAATGGTAAGGAGTCTCCTTGTACTTCTGTTGCACAAACAGAATGTCAGCATCAAATCCAGTGCTCTGCAGAGCTGTGGGCTGTTCAGGTAGCTACATCACTGCTGTATTACAAGACCAGAAGCAATAAACACCAGTTCAACTAAAAAGAGCACCAGAATCATTATCCGCTAGGAGATTCCTACTTGCGGTTCCTAAAATTAGGAACACCATGTTAAAATTAGGATTGCCTCTGTAAACTCAGAGCCAACTGAATGTAAAACTAGCACTGTGTTTTATAAAATGCTCAAAGTTGAGAGAACAGTTACTTTATTTCCCCTTTAATTTTTTTGTCTACTTCTCAAGTCAATACTTACTTTGATATCTTTGGTCCCAAATACTTAATCATGGAAGCATCATCTACCTGTTGCTTAGAAGAGACTGGGTAGTGATGTCTGAGGACTGAGCTTAAAATACCAGGGAGGAGGTTTCAGATTGTAGGGTGCTTTTGTCTCTTAGAACTCAGGTCAAATGTTAATGAACTTGAAGCATTTAAGCAGCTATCTGTACTCAGTCACTTAGAGAAATTCATCCCATCTTCTTGTCACTAAGTGACAAAGGACACAGCAAGTCTTGGAAGTACTCTGGAGATCTCCTGGCATTCAGAAGTAAGAGGATTCTTAGCTAGAGGTTCATTACTCCTCACTTGCTGTTTTCAAAACGTCAAAACCAGGTGAAGCAAAGAAGCCCAGAAAGTCATGGGCAAAGTGAATGTGTGCTAAGCCAAATTCTGATCTTCCTTCAGCATTAAATTGACTCCTCCTGGCTGACACTGCAGGCTGGCACTACAGCCGTGCTCACCAGGCAGAGGGTTGCTATCACAGTGCCCGCCCTGCAGAGCAGCCAGGTGCCAGCGTAGTACAATCAGAAGTGAATCGCGACAATCGGAATCAATAGGAAACAGTGTGTGAATCACCGCTTAATGCACTCCAGGGTGAGTCATTCCGATTCAAACCAGCTTTCAGACCAGTACGATGTCAGTCAGCTTCTCACACAGTTCGACGTGAGTCAGATCTCAGCACCGAGTACAATGTGAAATGAGTCACTGACTAATACAGCGCCATGTGCCTCCAGTACCCGGTGCGAGTTGTCAGAGCTTCTGTGTGATGTGAGTCACTTCATAGTACAGTAAAACGGGCTTTTTGGAGGCCATTCATAATTAAGCACAATGCAACCAAGCACTCTGGAGGAGATAATGGGAGTGAGCAGAGTAAACTGCTGCAGGCATCAGATTCATTGCATAATAGAGAGGTTTGTAAAATGTCAGGAGGAATGATTTTTTTAAATGTTATTGTTTCTTAAAACAGGCTGCATAAAAATAACTAGGAGCAGGTACTTTCTCTGACATCATAGCCAGGAAAAGCAGGGTTGAAGCAGTCGTAAAAATCCCAGCACTGGAGAAGTCTGTGGGGTTTTATGTTCTAGCTAAGAGAGTTGATCAGTCAGTGTGACTGACATGCATCCACTGAGGCTGACCCCAGCTGCCACGGAAGACAAGGCAAGGGATGCTGACAGCTTGTGCTGTGCAGAGGAAAAGATTCTGACACTGATTTAACTTAATTGCAGTTTGCAGTGACCTAGTTTGTGAAGGACTCAGCATAGGATGAAGTTATATCCACATTTACATTCATACGGCTCCACTGTCATAGCATTCACTTAATCAGCTGGACAGAAACAACAGATTGCTTTTGTTGCTTTTTCTATGCAACTGGTAAAGAATTCTTTCATGCCTTTCCCTTATTACAAGAGAAATAATGACAGTGAGCCTGCTTATTACATGTTAGAGTAATATTTCCAATGAAGTCTCTTGTGATAAAACCCAAACTAAAGAAATTCTCTATCCAGAGCAGATATAGGGCATCTCTCTAAAAAAACCAACCAAGCAAAGACAAACAAACAAAACCCACACAAAAATCCCACTGAAGCCCCAGGTAACTAGGTTTCTAACAGGAAAGTCAGATTTTAGTCAGAGAAAGACTTTAGTGCAGGAAGTTTTGCAGAGAGTGGCCTCGTGGTGGCCAACTGGGCAGAACCAAATACCAAAGAAAGAGGAGCAGAAGACATCCAAGGCATTGGTAGAAAAATACCTGTGACAGGTGATATGATCAAGGCATAATTATCCTCTTACTAGGTGGGTGTGATATTCTCTTAGCCATTCCTTTTGGAATGTAAAGCAATGCTTTAAGCTGGATAGATGAATTTGGCTCCTCTGAGCTGCTGCTCCTCTGGAAAAATAAATTAAGTAAAACAAGCAAAGGTGCTCAGTTTCTGGACATTCAACATGAAAGTGTCCCAGAGCTGTTAGTTACAGGATAACACTTCCACTTGTAACTTTATCCACTGAGCCTTTAACAGGCTTGGGCACAGCAGTGACATAAAAAGCTGGTTTATTCCATGTGCTGCCACTCTCTGTCTTGCAGTCACAGACTCTCAACCATTTCATCCACCTCACTACAATATGCCAAATGTCCAATAATACAAGATAACTTTTGAGGAGCTCTTACTCTTAACCTACTGAGTGGGCAATCTGACAACTATGCCTAAAGCATGTGCATATGTGTGGGTGAGTTCATTAACATATATTAGAATTCTTTTCTGTCTAAAATAGCACACTGCTTGATGCAGAAAGCCTGCCTGTCACATTTGTCAATGAAAAGGAAGAAGCACGAGCATCAAGTTTCCTGTTCATATTTCAGCTGACAGTGAACTGCCACAAGCTTCAGTGGGAGTTTGTTGCAGCCCCAAATATATCTGAATTGTTAAAAAATAGATTTCGAGATTTATTTGGAACTTGACCCCAGTTGCAAGCCTCTTATGACATTAGTAGATAAGAACAGAATCTCTTCCAACTTACTGGTTATCATTACTGGGAGGATTCAAAGTCAAAGCAGCAACTGTGAGAGCTATATAACCTCACCTAAAGCTTGCAGAAACCAAGAGGTGGCTTTCATTGCTTTACCAGGCCTGACTATGTACTGAAAAGTAACTGGACTATATGATCCATATCTGTGCCCTCACTCCAGTGGCTGTCAGCTAGTGTTCCAGCACAGGGCTTCCCAGGCTGTGGAGTTACTGGGAAAGCAGCATGCTGTGGCCATGCACATCAGCCCTGAGAACAAGCTAAAGGCTTGCACACCTGCCTGATTGTAATGTGCTGGTTTATTCCATGTGCTGCCGCAACCAAGGAGGAAATCTTACGTCTCAGTAATTAAGTTTAAGTAATAGAATCTTTGCACTCTGAGCTGAAAAGATGTCATTGTGTTTTAGCATAAAGTGGGGATAAAAGTATAAAATTTTGTCTACGATCTTCTGCATATTCCTGGGCTTAGGGCTTTTTTTTTTTTTTTAAATTTGGTTGAGGTTTTATTTTGGTTTTCAAATTGACATTTGTGGCTTAGATTTTAAATATTCTTCCTTTGGCAATGCTATTTTCTTGGTAGCCCACCTTTATGCTAAGAAATTAGCAAATACTATAAATGTTACAACTAAACCAAATATCACCTGAGGTGTTTTTAACCAGGGAAATAATTTTCACTCCTGACCTTTACACTCCTTTGTGTTTATAAGGTCACATGGAAAACTGCTTCATAATCTGAATGTCAGATAGGTATGCTTTGGAGCGGAAAAGTTATGACAAACATTCTTATCTCACCACTTCAGCATTACTCTTAAGGCATACAGTGGTTTTGCCACTATTGTCAAAAGTAACATCTCTGATGCTTGCCTAAATCCTTGGACTATTTTTTTAAATTACTTATTAGCAGTCAGTAATATGAGCCCATACTTTTTTTTATATGATTCATAGATATTATCTATCAGGATAAGAGGCAAGAACATGTGCCATTAATTTTCCTCAATTTTTGTTTCATTGCTCTTTAGGGACAATTTTATAATGGACTAAATTTGTTGCTATTGTTTCCTAGAGAAGGACATCTCTTTCCTTGAGAGATCCAGAAACTCTGCACCTAGGCATCTGCAGAGATGAAACAATGAACCAACTGGAGACAAGCTGATCACCTCAACACCTACTCCCCATTCTCATTTAAGTTTTTTAGTACTTGGCACTCTCCAGGTGGAATTTGGATGGTTCTGTGGATTCCTCCAGGCAGGACCCTCTGCCTGGACAAGTTTCTTTATGTTCCAGTGTGCTCATTAATATCCAGGGTGGAGGATATTCAGAAACTCCAAAGCTACAAAATCAACCCAATTCTGCACAGACTGCAGGTAGTCAGAGGAGACTTGTAAGTGACCAGTTATTTGTCCATAGTCAGAATAAACTTCCTGCAGATGCAAAAATGGTCATGCAGGATAGATTCATATACACTGCTTAGGGAGGTAGAAGATATTTTGTAGCTCCAGACAATCACCAGAAATTGATTATGTGTGTGCTGGAGCAGTCACAAGTCACATGACAGCTACATGTAGGATCTGAGGAGTAATGCAGGTTCCAGAGCCTCGTGAGATCCAGCCAACACCACACTATGAGGACCTGTGCAACAGAACCCCCTCTTGCCATCTAGACACTGACTGTCCCATTCAAGGATTTGATTCCTCACAGTGATTCAATATTAGCAAAATTGGACCCTACTGACTATTTGTGTTATACTCAGCAATTGGCTGAAACCATATCCAGTTTGAGTATAAACAGAGCATGAGAAGGCAGGGGTTGAAGTCCTTTGGTTAAAGGTGTCTTACATCATTCCATCAGTAGCCTAAAAGCATTTTTGGGTTCCTCAGAAAACATGTACAGGATAGCTGTCCATCTCCAGTTTTCTAATTCTCCGTGTTTTCTTCTCTAACCCATTTTCAAACAAGGTACATTGCTACTCCAGATGGTGGGGACAGAGAAGGCAGACTCCCGTTCTCAAAGTGCAGAGAACATCCAGTACAGAAGGTTCTCATACAATTTTTTAATTCCCATAGCACCTTCAGAGAGGTCTGAAATCTGCTGTCATGAAGTAACAACTGTAAAATTACATGAATAGAAGACCTATGAGGTCTAAAAAACATCTCCTTTTTGCCCTGAAGGAACCTGAAGTCTACAGAAGGCAAAATAATAACCACCTCGATTCCCATAGATCCACAAATCAATGAAGCAATTGCCTAAATTGTTGCTAATGAGGCTGTATTCTAAAAGAGCAAGGAATTTTGTTAATTCCTACAAATAATATTCGCTGGTTTAATTGATAAATCTACTACCCATTCCTGCACACATGGGTAGCACAGCTCAAACCAGCAACTGCCTGACAGCATTCCACAGCTCTGGTGGTTGCAGCAAGAAGCAGCAAAGTGTGATGGAAAACTTCCATGTCCTACAGTGAAATTCTGGATATATTAGAAGCAGCAGAAAGATACCTACATACATAAAATGAGCTCTTCTGAAGTTAGGTAAACAGTACTGAGATAGGTCAGTCATTGCTTGTTCTGTGTACCTGACCAGCCTGACATGGTTTTGTCCTATGGGACTTAATACTATCTGCACCAAAGGAATTTCTACAACTCTGTAATAACCTGCACCACTGCTCAGCTCTCTACCTTGCCATCCTATAACATGGGCCCTGGATCATATTTAGCCCAGGGGAATTCATTATTAATATGAATTAGAGATATGAATCTGTGAACACAAATTATCTCAGAGTGGATATATTAGGCTATATAAACAGCACATGTCTGAATCCAAGTCACATTTTTCTAATCCATAATAACAGTTTACTGTCCAAAGCAGCCTGAAATGTTGTTAGATATATGATCCTTCCAAAAATGTTTTATATGCTATCACTCTCTAATTGAAATGTGAAAATGCTCCATTTAAAAAAGTATAGGTATCTGGAAGGAAATTAATACTTATTCATTCCATTCATGTGAATCTGAAGCTGACAGGAAGAAACAGGAATCTACAAATGCATTCTACATTTCAGTTATCCTTTCACATTTTGAAACAAGAAAGGTTGGGGAGGGGCAGTTGGAAGCTATGTTATTTTTTCTCATTTTCTATTTCTGTTCATTTAGGCATTGCTTGTCAGACTGGGCCTTCAGAGTTTTAAAATTAGTTGTAATTTCTATCTATATTGTTGTTCTTGTATTTTATTCCTCCTGCTACACAGGTGCATCTTATGCTACCGTGTCATGCATTTGTCTCTTGGGAGAGTGGGTGGTTCTCACAAATACAAAACCTATTAAGCTCTACAAGACAAAAATAAATTCAACATTGAAAAAAAACACTGTAGCCAAAGTGTCACAAAATGTAGTGCTGCACTCTGCTAAAACAACATTCTTTCTTTTCCTGAGACTTCTGTTGAGTCCATGACACCATCTGTATGTTCCCCCTCAAGTTAAAACAATAGCATTTCCTAAACATGGATGAACACTTTGGAAAGGAAAGCAACTTTTGACCCCCAAGTATTTATCTCATTAGATTCAAGTCTTATATTATAGATTAAAAAAACCCTTAAAATTGGTAGCAGCTAATTTTAATTCCCCTACAATTGTCATGGCCTCAAAAGAAGATTTAGCAACCTGAAACAAGCCTACACAAAGGGATCTCGTGACACAGGAGGATGATTAGCTATGTATCCAAAAATCAAATACAAATAAAATGAAGAAAGCTATACTCATCTTTGTACAAGCTAGCATTTCATCTCTCAAAGACATCTGTCACTTACATATGGCATAACTTTCAGCATAACGGAGAGAGCACTATTAAGTGCTGTAGAGCAAATGTGAAGCTCACAGATAGGTCAGAAATGAACAGGGACTTCAAGGGGACTTGTCATTTCATCAACACCACTTATCTGCACACTCTGCAAAATGCAGTCTCCAAAAAGGCTTTGTACAATTGTGCAGCTCTGCAAAAAAATCAACCAGTGCATCCATCAAAATTTGTTTCATGCTGTCTTCAGTTGGGGGGGCTCAATGAAAACCATGTAATTGTTATCTAGTTTTGTGTTTCCTCCTCACCTTCACAGAAGCAAAGAGAAAACAGTTTTTAAAGACTCTGGCAGTCAGACCTTCAATGGAGAAATGAGCATTGGCCCTTCCCCCATTGCTACAAAGGGAACCAGCAGGTTTGAGACATCCTCAATACTCACCAAAAGCCAGATTTTCAGGAGAGCTCAGTGCCTCAATCAAGCATCCTGAAGCCTCTGCATTGGCTAATCAAGTGAAAGAAAGGAAAAAAGAAAAAATATAGGCCCTAAATACTTATATTCTGTGCCATTTTCCTTAGGATGGCCTTGAAGTCAAAACCTCAGGAAACCCTTTTCAACTCCTAGGCTGATACACCTCCGTGCCAAGAGCTCTAGCTCTCCAAGATCCCTCACTTGTACCTTTTGTTCTCTGCCTCACCACTCCCTTGTCATCGTATTCCCATGCACGTGAAGAATTCATTATCCCTTTGCCTTCCATCCCAGCACTTAAATGAGTGTTTTCCGTAGAATTCAACACCTTAGAACTTCCATGGGGGAAAATCATCGATTTAAGCTTTTCAGTTCCCTTGAGGCTGTGGCCTTTTGGGCAAGACTTTGAAAGCAAATAGAAAAGGAAAAAAGAGAGATGTTTCTTATTTCCCCCCTCCTTTGTTGCTTGCAGCCCATGGGATCGGAGAGGACGGAGATACGCAAACGGCAGATGGCTACGACCCCAGAGACCCCAGGTGCTGCACAGGCTCAGCTCAGCACAGGAAATCGAGGGTCCAATGCCTGCTGCTTTTGTTGGTGCTGTTGCTGCAGCTGCTCATGGTAACCCCTCTCATTCAAGCCTCTAGGGAACAGAATAGCAGGGAAGAGACACATAGCTTCTGCACAGGACAACATAAACTGAAGCAAATATTTGTATAATTCTGCAGATCTGTCACACAAAGAGATAGCTGTGCTCTACTACTAGACACAACCCTCTACTCTGTCCCCTGCCATTGAAACAATAGATTTTAGAAGAAATACCTGCATAGTATCTCTATTGCTCTTTTTTTGTCAATACTGTGTAATGTCTATTTTGTGCTGGAAGGGTCTTCTCAGCACTGAGCTTCACCAAGGCTCCCACTAAAAACTGAAAGCAATACCAGAATATGTCAGATCTTTATTTTTAGATTTAGGCCTTGACAAGCAGCACCAAAGGTGTTAAATGGAGTTAGGAGAAAGTGGAAGAATTTGTAGGTCAGAAAATGAATTAGCAGGTGCCCAGCACACTTCTTTTCCCCTGAAGGTAACTGGATCTGTTGTCACTAATTCGTATTGCAACTCATGGCACCTGCAACTCATATGAAGATAACCACTGGGACCAGAAACTTTAAACATTGTGGGTATTTGCTGAGGTGAGGACTGAAGCAGAAAAAAAATTCAGAAAAACTCCCTTTACAAAAGTCCCACTCACGTTAAGGAAGAAAATTTATCAGTCAAAGCAAAAGAGAAGGAATCACTTGATTCCTTAAATTAACAATGTGCTCACCTTCACTTTTGTACCAGCTCCTCCAGATCCAAGTGATTTCATTCTAAACTGAAATAAATGTTCCCATACTCAAAAGCCCTGTATCTGTTGAGGGCGAAGTGCTACTTAATGGGTGAGAGCAGAACTTGCATTCAAATAAACAAAAAATCTTAAACAGCCATAGAGTTCAGCCAAAACACTGGCAGCAAGTGGAATGCTTCTTAGAAATTCACTATCCACCACATAAACACTTCAGAGCAAGCAAACCTGGCACTAAGGTGATGGGAAGTGGTCATAAATAACCTTACAGCCTGGGCTAGGAATATATTCTACTAATGCTGTTTTCCAACAGCACCTTGTGGCAAATGCTTTGGAGAACACCATTAGAAGGCAAGGGAAGAGCAGACTGATCAGTTCCTTGCTATTGGTACTCAGCTCATCAGAAGCCAAGAAACACAAGATTCTGCCCTCCTTCATGCAAATAGTGAATATTTTGCAAGGACAAAATGCTGCTTGGAGGTTTGGTTTTTTTTGTAACATACCAAGAACTCTGGCTCTGATCCTACCAAGTTGTTCAGCAGATGCTTAGAGGTAAACTAAGGTAGAATTTAGAGAGACATTAACACTCTGCCTGTACAGGGTCTATTTGCTACCTACTGCATCAATGTTAAAGTATGCCATACAAATTCTAATGCCATTTCAACAGCTGTCCAGTGCAATTGCAAGTGGCTCAGTCCAGAGCTGCATTACACAAAAATGGTTTTCCATTGAAGGAAAAAATAAGACACATTTATCTGACATAGTATGTCGTGGCATATAAAATTTGCATTTTACCTTTTAAATTGTTGATAAAGTGTTTTTTTTTTGTCATTTTACCTTTTTTTTCAGGATATTTTCCAGGATGCTCATTTTCTGTGTATCTCACTATTCAAACAATTCAAAGAAAGCAATTTACTCAATAGGGTTTGTGAAAATACCCAAATTTCATGATGCTTAAAATTCCTATTTGCATCTCAGAATCATCTGGGAAACCAATACAGTCTCAGAAACAGAGTAGGTTGTTTCGGCTTTAAAATATTTTCTGATTTTTTTTTTTAAACAATTGTTTTCTAGTAGCAAGAAATGCAAAACAAACCAAAATTAAGCTATTTATGTTCCCCATTCATAGACCATTTCCTCAAAATAGCCTAAGCTCTTGGAACAGAAAGATTATGAATAGGAATAAAAATAACAGTCTCCATGAGTCATGCTGCTGAGCTGCTGAACATCCAATATTCAGCATATTCTTAATAGTAGATTTAGAATGAACTGAAATGAGTCTCCCAGCTGGATGCTCAGAGCCCGTGTTCATTCCTACAGTCAAATCCAGGCCTCCAGCCTGTTACTCTTCCAGATCCTGAGAGGATACAGTATTGCACTAGTCTCTTCATTGTTTACTTGTACATTTCTAGGGAAAGAGCCTGCCTGTAAGTAATTTTCTGAAGCATGTTCTCTTAGGGAAGCTTTTGTTATTTCTTTGGTCTTTTTCCTTTTCTGTGGATTATCCTTTGAAGACTATTCCCTTCTATTCTGTTGGATGTCCTCAATCCAAAAATAGCTCTAACAAGAGTATCACTTCTGTCTGTGTGTGAAGAATACATATAACTTTACATATTCTAAAAAGGCCAGAACCACTGGTAAAAAGGGTAGTAAAGGCTTTAGACCCATATAACCTAAGAGAAAAAAGAACGCGCATTACTACTTACTTATTTCTCTTTTTTTTTCTGAAAAGGTAAGTTGAGAGAGTTCATTGGTTTGAACATACGGTTCAGATATTGCTGAAAAGAAAAGTGTTTGCAGTATCTGCTCTCCATCTTAGTTATACAAAAGCTTTCCTGTGTCTTCAACACATGGACTGCTGTGGCAAAGAGAAAAGCAAGTCTCTGCAGAATATGGACTAACAGTAGACAAAGATGAAGAAGGAGATGCCCAGTAAATAATATGGTAGCAAGTAAGACCTGGCCAAGAGTATAGAATGCAAAACAGTCAGAAAAATCCACTGGTTTAACAAAAAACCTTCCTAGAGATAAATGAGATTCTTAGGCATTAAGGCAGCAAAACTTAGAATATTAGTATGAAAGAAAGGTAAGATACAAATGAAGAAATTAAGTTTGGTATTTCCTTAGAAGTTATAGCAACTGTGTTGCCTTGTTTAGGCTGGAGGGCCCGTTTCATATAAATAACAGTCAATATAAAATATTGCTTAAAATATGACATATTTTAAGCAGCTTTACAGATTATATGACAGCATGTGTGTATGCACATGCATTTCTCACTAAACTACTATAGCCTGGATGAACTGGAATGTAGTCCCCACTCCCCAAAAAAAGTATTTTTATTTTCAAATCCAGGTTCAAATGAAAATTAATCATCTACAACTACAAAAGAAGTTTTTTAAAACTAGAGCTATTTTAACATTTAATGAAAGAAGCAGGAGTTCACAGCTACCTTTCCATAGGACACAAAAAATTGTCTGTGATCCCTAGTGATTGCAGCAAATTTTGTTTTTGTAATGCTACTAACAGGTCTTACCATTCAGACATACTCAAAATTATATTCAGCAATGATAGATCTGCTCTTTGTGCTCCAGACCTCACATTTTGATGCATATATTAGCAATTTTCTAAGATGTAATCAATCACCACACAATCTGGCTCCATCTACATCTGAACTCTGAAAGCTGCTTACCCTTCCAACAGCACATACAGTAGTCTTTAGCTCACTTAAATCTTATGTCCTGTTTCTGAACTCTGGCTTTCCTGTGACATGGTATCACCAGTCCAAACCAGCCCTCATCAGTCGAGAAAAAAAAATGCAAACAAATCCAAAGCCACCTGCCTTGAAACCTAACTCATATAAAACCAGTGTGTCAGGTAAGTAAAAGCATTGCACTGAACATACACAGTACAAAAACCAATGAAGAATGAATTTGGTATGTGACAAAGGGTATGCATGTATACATATACATTCCATACACACTTATGTGTGTATATATGTAGAATTGGACCTGACGATTCTTACGGGTCCCTTCAGCTTGAGATATTTTATGGAACTATGCTCCTTCTGTAAAAAATCTTTATTATAGAATATTAAACAGCATTCAGCTACACTTAAGGTTTATACAGCTTTAAGATTTATACAAAAATAAGGTGAGAATGTAACTGTGGGTAATGTGTCTATCATTAGCTTCTGTCCTTTTAGAATTATTTTTTTAGTATAGAAGGAAAAGTATCTGATGCATGTTCAGCCTTTTTCTCTATAAAGTTTACTAAAACTTTGCTTGCTACTTTGCAGTCTTACTGTTAGAAATCAAGAAGAAGAGAGAGCAAGGAGAACATCTCATGAACTCCAAGCAGAGGGTATTCCAAACTGTGAGGAAAGGTATAATCTTCATTAAATGTTCTGTCAAGCTAAAATGAAACAAACCCAACAAACCGTACTAATTAATTACAATGGTTTACCTGAAATATGAAAATAACTATTATCTGCTTGTCATTTACACCCAATTTGCAAGTCACTTGTTTTTTTATCTTCTAATGAACCAAAGGTCTGATCTATAATATCTTCCTTCATTTGTATGCAGCACATAAGCACATCCCCACTCCCATCACAAATTAAAACCATCACTGTAAACTGTCTCCCTTTTTCCTGAAATAATTTAAAAATACACCCTGTTCCCATCCAGCAAGTATGCAATGAGCTTAACTGGCAGTGCTCAGCCTTACAAAAATAATAAACTGGAGCTTAAATCCTCCCAAAAGTCTGGCAATAGTTTCTTCAGAAATGCTCAGACAGGTAAAAGCACCTGCAAAATGGTAACATACAGGTGGGTACCTTTCAAAGGGTTTGAAGCATTGCTTTTTTATATGTATTTTTGTTCAATTTTTAACCATAATTTAACAAGGAATATTTGGGATAGAAAAAATGTCTAGCTGCTGCACGGGTACTTCTTTGTTGCAATTACTCTGAGCAGTAAACTGCAATTTCTGCATCAAAGCAGAGGCAATCACCTGCATCAGAGCTTTTGATAAGCACAATTTCAAAAAACATCTTATAAATATGTTTACACAAGTTTGCACTTGGGTAGTTCCAGTGAGGAATCAGAACCCCATGAACCTTACAATTTTGTTCCATTGTGATGGCAGATGCCTCCTGCCAGCTGCAAACAGCTCGAGTAACAATCACTCATTTCTCTCCTTTTACTCTTCTTCCTCGTTAAGCCCTGCTCCCACTCTCGAAGAAGTAAATGCCTGGGCTCAATCATTTGACAAGTTGATGCTTACTCCAGCTGGCAGAAATGCTTTTCGTGAATTTCTGCGAACAGAATTCAGCGAGGAAAACATGCTTTTCTGGATGGCCTGTGAGGAACTAAAACAAGAATCCAACAAAAGCGTCATTGAAGAAAAAGCAAGACTAATTTATGAAGATTATATTTCTATCCTTTCTCCAAAAGAGGTATATTGCTTTCCCTAATACATTCTTTGATGTTTCTTTGCACAGTTAGTTCTAACATGTGTTTAAAGCTACAGCAATACTCAGGGAGAACTTCACCCACCCCCCACATTTCACTGCCATCAAGTAGCTATTTAGGGGAAGAAAGCACCCACCATTGCGGTGAGATGGTGGAAACAACTTTCACTGGTTGTAAGGAAGCTCTTCCTGTGCTACCCTGGTGTGATGTGGAATTTTTAGTTTGAGGCACAAATATATGGCTGATCACATTATCCTTGCCCTACTCAATTTTTATTTGTTGGACAAATCAATTCCTTTTCTCGTTCCACTTGGAAGACGGTGTATACATTTCTCCAAAAGCACAGTAACCACAGATAAAGTGTTATTTTCAAAGTACAAATTTCTCAAATAGCAGCTGACAAAATATGGCATAGAACAAACACAATGACTTCCCCAAAAGTTTTGAAACTACTTGTCACTTTGCTGTTAGCAAATATGTCAAGTTTCAAAGACACCTCAGTACAGTTTGAATATAATCCTGCCAAGCAGGCTAGAATTTTAAACTTCAACATCCTTGCAAAATTGCAATTTAATTTTTTTTGGTGCCAGTTATAAGTATGTACTTTAAAAAAATGCTGCTTTTAATCTACCCAGTCTATTCCTGCAACACTACTATCTCTCTACAGGCACTAGACTTGCAGAAAAAAGAAAAAAATTACACTGTTGTATGGAATCATTATATAGCCCTACCTGTGGTTCACATAAACTCTGCTTTTTAACAGCAATTTGATTAAGAAACAGCTTCCCATGTTACATTGTCCACCTGCGTCATACTCTTACTCCAAACTCAGTCTCTTTACAGCAGCACTAACTCTCCAGGAAATGAACTGTCACAAAAAATTATAAATGCTCTCTACTACAGAGCAGGAAGTTGGTCTGGAAATAACCCATCGGTCTCAGTAATAATGGGATTGCAGACAGCCTAGTTCAAATAAGGTACCTCAGTGAGGACAATACCTATACTCAAGATATTACTCCAAATTTTGACAGAATCATTTTTTGCATAAGTTTATTTAGCAATTTTTACAGTCTTGGAGGACACCAGCTGGAATGCTTTAAAAAAATGGCATTTTCAACCAATGAAATAAAACTAAGACCCCACATGTACTATTCACCACTATTATTTACATGACTTTCTATTTTAATACGCAGGTCAGTCTGGACTCCAGAGTAAGAGAAGTTATTAACCGAAATATGCTGGAACCCTCACAACACACCTTTGATGATGCACAGCTTCAAATTTATACCTTGATGCACAGAGACTCTTACCCACGGTTTATGAACTCTGCTATTTATAAGGACTTGCTTCAGTCCTTGTCTGAAAAATCCATTGAAGCATAGAATTTTTTCTTAAGTGTATTTGTTTTAAAACAGACGGGACTCTACGCTACAAAAATCCACAGGGAAATTAGAATTAATCAGATATTTACCTGAAAATAACTCAGGCAAGTTTTACTACAGACTGGATAATTTAAATCTGCACAAAGCTCTGACCCAATCAGCTAAGTACAGTTTCTGATTAAGTTCAGTATTACTTTCTAAAAGGAAATGAAGAGAATGAAGAAGAAACGTTGTTCAAAAAATGTAGTATTTTTTCCAACACAGCAGACAATTCAGACACAAAGCTATCACAACTTATGTCTGAGGTACAAATACTAAGCATGAAATTAAAACTGATTTTTAAGTGGAGTGTTAGAATTTTTTTGAAAACCAAACCAGTTGCCCCATCCACACTGTGACCAAAGTAAAAATATTACTGTCAATACTGTGTTACTCTAGGCAGTGCCATCACAGCTGGCATAGGTACACTCCACTTGTTTTGGTATATTTAATGCATACATAGTGCACTAATGGAAATTGGCATGGCAATCTCAAGTTTATGAAAGTTACTGGTTGAAATAATGCTGCTTATTAAAAAAAAAATCTTTTGCTGAAGAATTGTTATTTTAGTATTAGAATCTGCTGAAAGCATTACGTTCCCTTTGTTAATGTTCATAAAGTTAAATAATTTATTTCAGAGGAAGAAGTCTGGGCATTGAAATTCCAAAATAAAGCACAAGAATTCTCACATTCTCTTCCCTCAGTAGGTCTTTGTAAAACCCTTCACTATTTGCTCCCAAGAGGACGAGTTTCAACCAGCTTGGGTTTATAAATACAAAATTCTCCCATTCCCTGACAGATCTTGTAAGGTTTCCATTACAGATATACACACAATTTACTTAATAAAAACAGGAAGATGGAACTTGTGTTCTGATGCTATTTCAGACTGTCCAACAGCACCAGCTCTCTCCAGTTATAAACCACATTCATTTACAGTAATCATGGGAAATACCAGGAAAACATTAAGTCGAATCAACATAAACTATCTGTAGATCTGTTACTCTAATGTCTTCTTTCTTTTAAATTACAAGATTCACTACAATCCACTACATTAAACTCTGGAGTTTATAGTGGATTTCCACTGAATTGTATTTTTTTTTTCCTGTGTATTTATTTAAATGAGCCAAATGACACATATAGGTTGAAAAAAGACATATGAGAAAGACACAAAAAATACCCCTAGAAAGGAGAACCAGATAGACATAGTTCAGTGAGCGTACTCTAGCCTTTCCAAAACCTACTCTTTGCCTAATTCAAGCAGTATGGAAAATACAGAATGGGAAATTTCTCTAAAAAAAAATGAAATGGGAGGAACAAAACAGAATTTAAGGATCAATTTAATTGTTTCCTCAGTGCACTTGGCAGGAGATGTTGTGCCCTTACTGCATTTGCATTTTGAAGCACATAATTATTTGATTTTTTCAGTACATAGCATCAGAGGAGAAGAGCTGGTACATGGCAATTCATCAATGCTATGGGCTGGTTCAAGCCAGGCTGGATGGGGCACTGGGCAACCTGGTCTAATGGAATGTGTTCCTGCCAGAGGGATTTGGAGTAGATTAAGGTACTTCCAACCCAAATAATTTATGATTCTATGATCAGTCTTCATCATCTCCTTCCAACAACAAAACACTATTCAACATGTCAGCACAAAAAAGTAAACCAAAAAAAAATAGAGAGCAAAGCAAAGTGCTTTTGCCTGCTGTAGCACAGTGCTAGTGACCAAGTTAAGAGGAAACCCTTCCATATGCCACTAAAGACACAGTTCAGTTGGTGTTTGCCACTGCTTGCCCTATCAATGCTTCTCATCTGAACTGAATTTCTTTTTAACACACCCAAAGCACTACCAATACAATTTCAGTTTATGTGAAATATTACAATGTAAGTAGTAACTTTAACAAAACATACTAGGTATCTTCAAAAGACAGCACTCATGGGGAGCTTGCAGTCAAACAGACAATACTGTATTTGTTTTAATCAGAGTGGGCAGGAGTGCTCAAAACCTCTAAGTTGACAAAGTTTACCTAGGTCAATTCAGCTTTTTGGAAAGATTGTATGCACACATTAAAACAAAACTTCAAAGCATGTCACCTCACAAAATCGAGGATTTAATTTAATTTATCTCTCTTCCCTTCAAAGATACTTCACTAAAAACTGAAAGGCAGACTGAACGCTCATAGTCCATATCAAACAATATATTCTATTATTGTATATTCTATTATTATTAAGAAAAAAGATGCTTGAAGTTAGAGGGCAGAGAAAATGAAATTGGTTTGGGCAGTCTTATGGTTAACATTAAATTATAAAAAAAAGAAAGTAATAATTTCTAAGCGTATTTTCTATGTGCCACAACTTCTAAGCAATTAAGATTCTCTAGGCAATTTTCATATTACTTCTGCATTACAATATGTTGATATTTGCAATGTGCATTCTTTCCTGAAATATTTTACTAAATCTTAATGCTGTGCTTTAGGCTTAAGTTTATACCCACCACCAGTGGCAGAATGCCGATCCCTAGATATCCGGAGAATATTTCCTAAAAACCCAAACAACCCACTCCCTTAAATATCTTGCTATTTTGAGATTGGTTAATGCTGGATTTAATTGATGGCATGGAGGTAAGGAGGTGGGGAGGGGGAAGATGAAAACAAAAACCCACCCACAGACAACAAACTTTTAATTATATTTCATTGTTATATACCTGCTCATGGTGCATAAACTTCTCAGGGCAAAAGAAAAGTGCACTGAAAAGGAAAAGTTTCCATAGACAAGCTGTTACATGAACAGCAAGAGAAAATAATCATATTGACATAAGACATTATTTAATCATGTAAGAAATTATCACAAAATCAATTTATCCTAGGTTGAAAATGAGCACGGTTGGTTTGCCTTGGCATTTATCAAACTGCAGGATATCATTAAGCTGTAACAACTTTCCAGTCCATTGGCATTCTTCCTTCAATGTCTACACTTCATAAAGCAGCAACTCCCACAGAACATGCATACTGTTAAAGACTGCTCTTTTCACCAGCCTGCTAAGCACTATTAAAATTGCATGGGCTCCTTCAGCCAACATATTGTGCTGTACAATGACCTTTAAATTCCAAAGTCATTAGCACAGTACAAATGGAGAAAAAAAAATATGTATTCTGAAGGGCTCTACCATATAAAGTTAGATTAAAATTTATCATACAAACATTATGTACTTATGCAGTTTCTGATTACAAAGGATATCAGAAAAAAGATAAAGTGATGAGAATGGCTATCATATCACAGCATTAAGTAATTTGTAAACAACTTTGCTTAAGCAGATCTTACAAACATGTGTCTTCTGCCATAAAAGATGAGTATTGTTTCAATTACATTATGAACAATTTTTATACTAATGTTGTAATTAAATTAATCCCAAACTCTTTGAAATGGTAAAAGAATTAAGAGTAGTGATGATCTAGTGAAACAGAAGCTAATATACAGCTGTATAAAACTGTGATTGAAGTAAAACTCCTCAGGTTTGTTTATATGAATGACTAATAGTTCAAGATCCATTTCCAGAGGCATTTGTTTGAAAGGTAATATAACTACACTGTACAGAGTGAAGACTTCATGTTGATGAATTAAGTCCTGTCTAGGCTGGTAAGGATTGTGAGTTTTAATTTAAAATTAATTTATGTGATCACAAGTGGAATCCTGAACTCTGGATAAAAACAAGCCTCTTCCTTGGATTCACAAAAGCCAAGATTACTGGGCAGATATTTTCCTTCTGCTTAGTGATAGTCAAAAAGAACCATTCAGTACAAGATACTTTAAAACTCCTACTTTCTCCTGAATGACATGACAATATGAGCAAATGTATTATATAATGAGAATATGTCTTCTAATGAAGGATCCAGAAGTTGTGTCTTCTGAGCAGAAGGATCCTCTAAGCCTTGTTTACAGAAGATTGGATCCTTAAAACACACACACACATACCTTTAAAAGGAATGTGGCCTTCTCTTTCTCTCTATTAGAATTTTGTGCAAGCTACCTTAAACTGTAGGACAACTCTGTTCCATCTGAGTGTTCATAAAGGTAGTAACCAAACCTGCTATTCCTAGATGGGAGAGATTCATCACCAGTTCTGCTGGCACATTTCAGTGCATGAAATACCCCAGTGTTCTGGGTCAGTCGTAGCACAACTGCAGCCCAGTAGACAAGTCAGCCAGCTGGAGAAATGAGACAGTCCCAGCCCCACCTTTGATACAGGAGGGCAACTTCAGACAGCTGGGAAAACTGCAGCAGCTTTTGAACAGAGGTCCATCCAGAGATCAGTACTGGAAAGTTTTTTTTTTTTATTTGGGTAACCAAAATAAAGCATGAATAGAACTGATGCATTTTTGGATCTAGTTGTTGCATTCCATCTCTCACTGGGCAAAAGAAACAGTTCTTTTTATCATGGGGGCAGAAGAGAGAAGGATGAGGGCTGATGCTCAGGAATCATCAGGTCCATCACATTTTATTTCAACTCCTACTTGGATACACCTGCGTCACAGAAAGTGCTACCACAGTTCTGGTTCTTTCAATAAAGTCCAGATATAATCTGGTGAGTACAGAAAGACAATTACTACATTTTCTCAAAAGGTATTTATTCTAAGTGTCACAATCAGACACAGAGATTAAAGGACACACAGTGTAAGGAAGATCATGCAAACCAACTACTGCCTCCCCTGTATATATATGCTGTGAACAGCTGTGGAAATTTAGGTCTACTTGGCATCCAATTCATTGTCATTTTTAACACTATTTTTTGGACTTGTTCTTTTAGAAAGGTCCCCAAACAAAACACTAATTGACAGTAAAGATCTGTAATTGGTTTCTTGTCCTCAGCAACTTGAAAAAAATTTTATACATCTTTTAGTAACTCTTAGGAAACAATCCTGCCAATGGACCTACACACAGGCTAAAAATTAACTCATGCTGCTAGTAGAAAAAAATGTTTTCTAAAGGGCATTAGTAGAAGTTGAGTTAAAATGTATATATATAAAAAGCTATGCAAGAAACTTTAAATGCTAAGCAATTTTCCTAAAAAAATAGTATGTAACAAAACTTCTTCTATTTTAATTTTTTTTTTCCTTCAGCAGAAAAGCCATGCTTCCTTGCATAAGCTGACTGGAAAAGCTTGCTCTATCAAGTATTAACCAAACAGTTCCTGTCTCCCAAAGTTCAAGTGCCATCATACTATTTCCAACTCATCTGTTATGGTTGCCACTATAACACAAAAAACATTCAACATGGAAAAACTTGGTTTTCCTTTACATTCAAGGAATTTATTTTCCAGGAGCTGTGTATACTCTTCCCATCCCCTTATGAATAATTTATACAGTGACAAAATAGACCTCCTCAGCCCCAAGCTCTAACAGAATCACAGAATAATGAGGTTGGAAGAGACCTCTAAGATCATCAAGTCCAACCTATGCTCTAACACCTCAACTAGACTATATTACCAAGTGCCATGTCCAGTCTTTTTTTAAACACATCCAGAGATGGTGATTCTACCACCTCTCTGGGAAGACAACTCCAGTACTTTATTATTCAATAACAAATTAAATAATATAAAATTAGATATAATGAAAGAATTTAATCTCTTCTAAAGATGTTGACATGTTTTTCCTTAAAAACACATTTGCAAATATTTCTAAACATGCACTGTTAAAAAGCAAACTTTTAAAAAGCAGCATTTATATAATTTCTCATATGGAAAAGATTGTAACTTTAATAATTTACTCCTACTTGCAGGTCTATGTTTGACACCAAATACTCTACATCTCAAAAATTGTTTCATTAACAAAATCAATGCAATTTAAATGAAGGGAGTATAGTATCACCTCTCCAGCCAGTTTAATGTAATGAACTGGTTAGCTGGTGTTATTGGGATAGCCTACAACACAATGCCTTTGCTTATTTACAAAGTCTAAACCCAAGTTGGCTGCCAAGCACATTAAGTAAGACTGAACACTCAAATCAGATTTAACCACTATTTAAGACATTCTTAGAAATAATGCCTGCTGACAGAAAGTAAAATACATGCTTTGGGCAATAAAATATATTGCATTGATCAAAGCTGGTTACATAAACAAGCTTAACCAACCATTGCAAAAGAGGTCATGATATCCAGTAATAAATATTCAAACCCCATGACTGCAAATTTAGTCCTAGTCCAGAAAGATCACATACAAACTAGAGAGTTAATTAAATTGTGTTTTAGTTAACAACTGAGTTTAATGTTATGAAGAACTTATATACTTTTTCTGCTTGCAAAGCAAAGTGAACAGACCAGAGAGAAACAAATTTCATTCTTACAACCAAGCAAATGTGGAGAGGCAATTTACACACAGGAGGAGCGCGTCTATTTCAGACCACAAAAAATACAGTACATTATTCACATTGTTAGAAAAAAACAAGACAATTACCAAAATGTTTAACTGGTAAAAGTTTAATGTCAACTTACTTATAAAAATGAAAAAATATTTTAAAATTCACCATACATTTGAGCAACCTGGCCCTACTGACTACCAGCTATAGGAAGGCATTTAAGGAAATTATGGTTGTGTCAAAACAAAGGCTAACTTGAGGCATGTATGCTGCTTTGAAATAAAAGAAAAGAAAAACCAAAAACCCCTCTCATTTGCAGGAAGCTAGATGCTTAGCCTAGTTTTTAAAGCTAATTACAAAATCCTCGTTCATACTGGTCCAGATGTCTTGACAATTTCTTCTTCTAACAGAACTGTCAAAAGAAAATAATGTTTTATGAGATCTTCATACATCTTAGCTCTAAATCTCTGCAAGAAGAAACAGAAATACAACACCATACTTAGGATATGGACATTACTAATTAAAGCACTTGCTTATATTTTAACCATTCCTTCAGGCAACTCTATACAGACACTTCTGTAACTGCTACCTTACAGAAGGTTTTAAGGACAAATATACTTTTTCAGGTACTGCAAACAATTCCATCAAACAATTTCTATGCTTTATATATTATTTAGATATCTTGGAGCCTGTATTTGAACAATATTTAGCAATAAGCCATGTAAACCAAGATGCATAAAATATTTTTTTATGTGACAGTCTTAATGTATATCGTGGCATGGCCCTGCAGAGCTGCAGCCTTCTTAACATAGGAAAAATATCAGAATGAGGTTATCATGCTTCCTATGGCATGTGATCTCACCTTAAACTGTAAATTTTACATGCCTTCATTTCAGTATTTCTCCGTTTTATTGAACTACCAGTGTTTCTCAGAAGCTTTATAAATTCGTTTCCCAAACTTAAAAAAAAGATTCAATCAAGTTATCACTGCCCTACACTTATCCTGGCACAGGAATACAGCATCAGCCATATCTTTTTTTTTATTGCTTCTTCTTTTCAGAATTGAAAAAAAACCAGAAAAAACAGTAACAACAAAAGGTCTAAAAAAGGCCTGTTACACTCACCAAAGCAGAGATTAAAACCAGTCAAAAGAACTTTGGGTGAAGAAAAAGAAAACACAGTGACCAGCTTGTCACCACTTCGTATGGCAAAGCAGTATTGTAACTAAATGTCTCAAGGACTAAGTCCTGACTTCTCTCCCCCTTTGCCACCAACCTTCTTGAGAGATCTCACACCTTCAGTCAAAAACACATTTCTGATTTAAAGCTATTTTGCAATCTCAACATGTAATATCATTAATGGGTTAAGAAGTAACCCAAAAAGTCAACAGAAAGTGGTTTGTCACATTTACTGTAAACCCAAATTAACCACAGAGGCTGGCTGCCTGCTATCAAATATGCAGAGCAGTCTAACAGTCTTACCTTCCATCTGTTTCCACATTCATTACAGACAACAAACGTTGTCATGGGTTCATCAGCACTGCGGGTTTGAACCTTTGGCAAAGACAAGAGCCAGAGCAGAAAGGAAAATTAGTATCTTCAATTGTCGTTAGTGTGTGTTCAATGTAACTGTTTAAATCAAAGTTTAACATTAAGGAAAGAAATTTGCATAAAAATACAAGTTAACTTTATGTATCAACTGACACTGGGCTTTTTGCCTCACTATAAAGCCATGATAAACTTAGATTTTGAGAGATCTAGTAGCACTAAAATACCAACTTCTGCATTGAAACTGTGCACATATTTCTAGGAACAGATTCTACACTAAAAGTACAATGTCCAGTACAGCTTCACATACATTTACTGACACAAAGTCTTAAAAGTCTCACGACTGAAAAACAACTTGCTATTTAAAGCATCTGATAAACAATATAAAATATAAATGCAGCTGATCCTATGATGGAAATTACATTCCCTGAAACACTCTTTATCAAATTAAAGCACTCTTTCTGTGGCTGTAGGAATGACTGTAAATCAGGGTCTAGTGTGAGTCAAATGGTACATTAAATATACATAAAAATATACACATGTATATACGTATATATAATTTTCTAGTACTTAGTTCCTCTGTAAAAATAAGCTTACACACATTAAAAACAGTATCTCTCCTCCACAAAAAACCCTTATGAATATGATGTAATAAGAATTATCAAGAATTCAGCATCACAAAGAAACTTGTTTCAGTCTATATAGATACTCAGCTTGGATCTACATAAAATTTTTGGCAAATAAATACAAGAAACTTGCTTTACATAAGCACAACTAAGTAGATCCAGTATTCTTCACATTTTATAATTAGTCAGCATTTTGTTGGAAGTTCATTATGCAATTCCAAATTTTTTTCTCTGACAATCTTTATATAGGACTTAAGGTTTGAAAAAGGAAAACAAAGAGTGAATAACCACACACCTGGGTGTATGTACAGTTCTTCTTTTTGCACTTGCCACATGTAAACAGATCAGTTTGGGTACCTCCTGTTTTAGCCATCTGGTGCTCTCTGATAGCTTCTTTGGTCAGATTTTTGCGCATTTCTTTCAGCTCATCACTTGCCATTTCCTACAAAGGACAAAGAGCAGACAGAGTTTACTAGAGAGTTTTAGTTTTAAAACAAGTTATCACTGTGTGAGCCAATTCAGTTTTTTACTTAGAATCCATGAGCAACAACTCTGTTGAAGGGCAACATAATTCTACACATTTTTAATTTTACAAGACTTAAGCTGGGCTATTTCACAGCACAGAAGCTACAAGAAGTTAAAAATGTTCTCTTTTTTAACACAGACAGGAAAAAAAATACAACGTCAAACATCTAGAAACATTTCTATGCAAATACACTTCTGAAGTTCAGAAATGTAAGCAAGGCAAGGTAGAGGACCTAGAAATCCTCCAAAGAGGCAAAAAAGATGCTCTCCCTACATTAGATCCTTGGATAATTATCTCATTGACCTACATAACATTTATTACCGGAAAAAATTTATATTGTTTTGACTTCCATATTTGTACTGATAAATACAGTACAGCCATAATTTATTATATGTCATCAAAAATCATAGAAACTTTGTTTCTAAGCACTAACCAAAGAGTTCAGAATCACCCCCTTTTCTTTTTCCTTTGAAATAGTTTTAGTGCACAAGATCTTCACAAGGTCTAGAAATCAAGTGTGCATAGCAAACCAAATTTGTTACATTTTTCTTCAATACAATTTTTTTCACTATCCCATGTAGATGTGGAATGAAAAACTTATATCAGTGCTTTTTCACTTCAGAAGTAATCTTAACACTATGGTGGTTTTAGCCATTTGACATTTTAATCCAAAACATTAACAAACAAACAATGTGCGCAGGAAAGGATGAAATATATGTTGGTGCATATGTACATAACTACGTAGAACAAAGAAAATCAAAATACATACTGAAGGTACAACTTGCTTTTTTTACATATCTTTCACCAGCCTGTTTGTCCTAACCTTTATGTAAAGCTATAGTAAAAAAAAAAAATCAACAAAAAAACCCCCACCACAACTTCAACTTTCTTTTGGAATAAAGTTAGTCACGATTTTCATTAGTTGACCGTAACTGATTTCTCACAGCCTCCAAGACACTCCTTTATATCTCGTTTGAGGGGGCAGAATCTAACACATAGGAGAACTACAGAACTGAAACAAGATGTTAACAAGATGCACTTTCATTTATCTCTCCCATAAAATCTCATTTTTCATTTAAATACCTACATCTATTTTCACTTGTAAAGACACTTCCATGGCCTCTACCCCTGTAATTCAGATTCTGCAAGCCACAAAAAAGCCACAGTCTTTCAGAAGTATGCCAGCTTACACAAGTTACTTTTATGGCTAATAAATACAGACCAGGATGTAAGTCCAAGAGGGAAATAGTTCAAGACCTGTGCTTTACTCACCTCTGCTGTCATTTTAGCAAACTTGTCAGGAGGAATGTTTCCACATAATACATTTTTCCTTAGGTTAGGGTTCTTTGCATCCTTGAGATTTGCTATCCTACTTCGTACCCTATTTTTGTATTTCATATCAGTGTTTTTTAACTCTTGAAAAATAGGTGCTTTGGATTTAAGGAACAAAACATGGATAAGTAAAATAGAGTAAAACATTAACAACTAAAAAAGAACCCTAGAAAGGATTAATTCTGGAGGGGGCAAAATCTAAACCAAGGTACTTCTCCACTGTTTGTCAAGTCCTCCCCCCACCCCAACCAACAGCTACTTTCCTGTTCAACACAGCAGAATTCACAACTTTCTGAAGCCTAATCATAAGTTTAGTACAGGGTCAGCAAAACATGAATTTTTGGGTAGTAGGACCTCAACTGTAACTGTGAAAATTCATCCATAACTTTATGTCCAGTTTCTTGATCTCATCCTGAGAATTAATTCATTTCTGAATGAAATATTCAAACAATGACAACTCACTAACACATTTTTTTTTGGTTAAAAAAAGAAGCACAGACCTCTGTTCTGGAATGATTCAAACACTGGCACCAAAACCACCCTTTTGAGAACTGTGAATTCATTTAGAAACAAACTTGTAGAAAATGAAATAAAGACACTAGAAAATTATTAAGACTGTTAACAAGAAAAGAATTTAAATAGCAAAGAAGAGCCCAACATTTTATGTCAGAATGCTTCAGTAAGAGATTAATATTGCTGCTACAAGGAAAACATACTGTGCAGAAAAGAACCCACACACACTCACCTACATGCATTCCTACATATTTTAAGGCAAACCATTTAGGTTGGTCTGGATTTCTAAACACTTCATTTACGTACTGATTTGTTGAACACAGTTGCCATTTTTGTTTTATATGAAATACAGAAACACTCAATATATAGAACAAGTTAATTAATTTGAAAATTACTGTGTTTTTCAAAAATACTTCTGCCCTAGAGCACACAGATATACAATAAAGGATATCTTCTTCAATCAGAGAACCCAGCTCTTCTTCATCAGCACCAATAGCAATGTAATCATCTGAGGAAAACAAATGATAAAATATTAGCAACCTGACACTCTGTGTTCTATATCCCTGAGATCCTTATAATTCCAGAATGCTGTAACTCAGCAAATTATAAAACACTTGCAGTGAGTCTTCTTTCTGTATATGTAATTTTAATTTACTGCGCACTTAACCTTTCAAAACTTATTACTTAGAACAACATAAATAAGTGAAAGAAGCAAAATAGAAGTTTAAAAGAATTAAAAACATTTAAAAACCAAAAAACTTCTGACACCTAGTTGTAAACATAAATAGAAACAAAAAACACTGTTACACAGAAAAATCTAAAATATTCCAATAGGCTTGGCATCCCTCCCATCTCCACAGCCTGTGCATAGAACAGCCTATTATAAAAGGGAAACATTTTATCTTGTTTAATCAATTGTTTTAGTCCATACAATACAAGAATAAGCAAATAAATGTTTTGCATGCATAGAAGAGAAAAATTTCATTAGAAACATGGTAATTGAATAACAAACAATCTTATTAGATTTTTTAAAATGCAAAGCAGAGATGTGTCATAAAACATGTAAACTAGAAGAAATAGACCACAGTAGTCTTGAAGGCAATAAAACACTTGAACAAAAATGTCTCAAGATAACTGTTTACTGTTTCTGACCAAAATGCTTCCTCACAAAGACATCTACCTTTCCAAGACAGCTTAAGAACAAATTATATATAATGTTTGCCTCCTCATTGCAACATGGGTATATTTCAGTGAGTAATCCAAACATCATTTGTCCTTTGATCTCATACCAAAGGCCAAAAAACAAAAAAATAACCTTGTGTTTTCAACTTACAGATCATCAGTTTACATTTGCTGTAGAAAGCAACATAGCAAAAAAAGTTTTCAGAACACTATTTCAAATGAAGACTACATAGAATTATGAATGAAGATGCTGTATGTGACTGTCTGGTCCAAAAAATGTCTATGAACTACATATCCAGATGACCACTAATTCATTAGTGGTCTTTAGTCAGTTTTGCTTATTGCCTATACCTGAATTTATATGAATTAAAATAAAGAATAAGAGAGTAAACACGGATGATTCAGAAGTCTACTTACACAGGGCCAAGTTACATTAAGCTAAGAAAAGAAACAGGAGCTTGGTCATAATTTTGATAAAGAGTAGGATGCACCAGAAAAAAAATCAGATAATTCTGAAAAGCCCAGCTTTTAGTTTGCTCCTTATTCAGCAATTCATTCAATTTGTCAGTTTAAAGACACCCAAGTGTACATGAGAGATAAAAAGGAAAAAATCCCAGAACAGTAAAGGAATTTACAGATACCCAAAAGGCATGAGGTTAAGAGCAATGCAAGACTCTATTATTCCAAGTTATCTTAATGAAATGTCTAATGAATGAAAATAGAAGGGCAGCCTTCAAAAACTAAAATCTGAAGGTTTCCAGGACTTCTGGTGCAAGAAAGGCAGTCTTGCATATAGTCACACCCTCTAAGTCAAAAAGACTGAGACAAAAAAAAAAAAAATAGCAGCCTCTATAAAAAGATTTAAATGAAGAATTAAGGAACAATAACATTCCTGAGAAGAAGATCCCCTGTTGGTAAGGTATCAGATGAACTGAGCCACAAAATGTCCTAAATTAGCAACAACAAAAATGCATTTTCAAACATTCCTGTGCCATCAAGGTTACTCATGACGTGCACCTTGGGTAAACTGGTTTATGGTCTACACACACAAATAGATGCAAACAGGGTTTATTCTACCCCGCAGGGTAGGAGAAAAAGTAGAGTGGGAAAGACAGAAATAAAGAAGGAAATAGTTAAACTTGAAAATATAGTCTACAAAGCTCACCTCCTGTTCTGAGAGCTGCAGAGAGCATTTCTCTACATTTCACTCGTACAGAGTCTGAAGTGCTTGGAGCCCGGGGAAAAGAAGGGATGAAAGAATTTGAGGGAGCACTACCCTCCTCCTTCCTGCTGCTGGAATTGCTACTTGAACTGCTAAAAAAAGGCAAAATGAAAACCAATATTAACGTTTTTTCCCCCCTTCAAATAACTTTGTTTCTGGGCAAAATACGAGTCTTTTGCTACATCCATTTGATGGTATTCCAAAATAAGAACACAGGCCACCTTTTAAAAGTTATTTATAGCTCTAGAGTCAATACAATTTTTAAAGTGTCTTTAGACTATTCACTAGGGTATTCCACACAATAGAGACACAGCAGGTATTTCATTCCATTATATGGCACATAAGCTTTAATTCTCAGTTCTTTACATTAACATGAAATCTTTTTTCCTCCCACAGAACTTTACTTTAAGAAACAGTGATGATACATCACACCAACATTCATTCTGGAGCAACTCCCTTGCATTCAATCTGCTTACTGTACTGAAGGGGTGCCATGGTCACAAAAAAAACCCCCACAATTTATGTAGTTGTGCAAACTGTAAACCAAGTTTTCAGCTTCCATCTGGACATACAGAGGTTAAACTTCAATTTTAAAATGGCTGCTGAAAAGAGATCACTCAGATCTACTCAGAAATGTATAGAAGAAATGGGCTTGCAAATACTCTTTTGTAAATGTTCTTCAGCTCCTGCAGTGAGCTGAAGTTAATGTAGGCTTCTTTTTCTGTAACATACTTGGTGTTTACCAAAAAAAGTGCAAAATGTTTATTAAACATAAAAGCTAACACACAAAAGAAGCATATGCAATTACCCCAAAGCAGAGACTGAGAGTTGTTTTACAGTTCTCAAAGCTTGGTGCTAGTACTGAGGACAGAGTATTTAACAGACCCAACAGATAGAACAAACAAAACTTGTCTGGCCATATCTTGACCTATGTACCTTTTTTTAAATCATGTCAACAGTAGCACAGTTTACTTCCCCAACTGTTTCTTGTACAACTCTGTCTTTCAGAAAAGAACACGGCAGCTGTCTCTCTCATTACAAATTCAGACCAAATAGTTTTATGTTAATCTATACTGAGTGAGACTATTTGCACAGCCATTAAGAATTAAGCACCTTTCTTCTCTGGCATCAGGGCTGTTTTGTGAGGAAGATGCAGGCTCCTTTTTCTTTTCTTCAGAATCTTTATCAGTGGAAGGTCCATCTGGAAATACAAAACATGAGAAACTCTCTTCTACCCAGAAATAGTAACCGATTTAAAGCAGTGATAAAATATCATGATTTCTCCTGAACCGGTTAGAAATGCTATCAGCTCCCACTCTCTGCTTTGACCTTCTCTTGCAGTACAGCCTTCCACTTCCCAACACCCTCCCAATGCAGGAAATGGAAAACATAACAACACCTCAGATCCTTCGAGTCAAGTCCAGCATCTGCTTAAACTGGCAGTGAAGACATGACAGAAACATATACTTTAATGATTTATTTTTTCCAACACTCCTGCATTACGTAGACAGTAACTTCCCAGGTATTGCATCAAGTCTCTGGAATTTGTCTTCCATTTTTTATATACTGATGTTCCTACTACATACATGCCATTCTTTTAAATTATAGTGTGGAAGATACCATAGTTGGCAAAATAAAAAGTAATTTTCATCTTTTTGAGGGACTTTTCCAGACACACAGTATTTTCTCTGATAGCTCTTAAATTATTTGCCTTAGTATTTAAATATATTTGAATCTGCCATTCCCATAAAGGTTAGGTTTCACTACAATTTCACAAAGAACAAAAACAGAAGTCTTTATGGAAAAGAGCAATCACAACATTTAACTCTAGCACAGCAAGAATGCATATGCCCTTTCATTGTAAAGAGGATTTCAGAGTGGCTAAACTGAGTGCCTATTTGGATTTGTTCTCTAGAAAGGATTGCTCTACTGCATACAGAGAAAGCCTAGTGAGATTGGCACCACTGATTGACAGATTTTGTGAATTCTTCTTTCCAAGCCCTTATAAAGCTGCTATTACACATCTAAATTTTTAGACTGTATTACTGGAATAAGCATATATTACAAACTTTATAATTAATTAAAAACAGAACAAGAAAAGGAGGAAAGTCTGTTAAGGCTCAGTCTTGCCAAGAAAGATGTCCTGAACTAAGCATGTTAATCCTTGCTTAAGCATCTAAAAGTATCCTTATTTCCAGAGGAACCCCATCCCTGTGCTTCTCAGAGGAACTTGGTTGTATGTAATTCACAAATCTGGGTCTCTTCAAACATCGAGCTTTTTAATTTCAGGGAGTATAAAATAACTGTACTGACTTTATTTTTATTGGAACAATAAACTTAACATGATTTTTTCTTGATTTTCCTTTCCTTAACCTGTGAGTTAAGGAATTTATCCAATCAAACACCATTTTGTTAAAAGATCATCATAAAAGGAGAGCAGAGACAGCATTACTGGATCAGACTAGGCACCAATCTACCATCCTGTCTCCAGCTGCACCTATAAAGAGATGTACACAAAATAGTACAGGAACCAGAAAAGCACAAGATACTTCTCCAGAGTATTCCCCCAGCCTTCAAGAGCTCACCCATTGTTTGCAATGTTGCATTCAATCCTTGATAAATTTAGTTTAGGGGAAAAGAGATAATTAAACACAGATGATGCACTCAAGCTGACTGTCTTTAATAAGCTGAAGATGTTATTCAAAAAAAAATTCCTAATAAAGATACCAATTTAATGACTTCTGTTTATAAAAATAATTTTACTAAGAAAGCAAACAAGACTATAAACTGAATGGATCACATGAGTTCTCTGCTATGACAACTGAAGTGCACTAAGAGAAAGAAAACAACTCCCATTTTTAACATGCATACTCACTTTCTCTATGGCAACAACTGATTACATGATATAATCTTTAAAGATGTTCCAAATATGCATGCAATCTCATTTAACTTCATAATGTTTTAACTACATGCTCATTTTTGTCAGAGGCTTTAAGACAAACCAGTAGATCAAACCAGTATGTTGGGGTACAGCTCAAATCCTGCAAAGCAGGAGCTGGGCTTCAGCCCATCTACCTACACATTTTTTCCTGGCACACAGTCATCAAATTCAGGTCTGACCTGGGTATCATCTCCTGCCTATCAGGCATAACACCACAGTGGTATAGCTGGCAACCAGATCTCTTCTATCAAACACTTTCACTTAGCCCAGCACCATTTCACCAAGGGCAGGCACTTGCCAACACCTGCCAATACCCCAGTGGCTTCTCTCCCTTATGGAGGGCACCTCCTCCTACAGCTGCAGACCAGGCTATGCAAGGGTGTCTCAAACCAAGGTCAGACTTGAGCAGCTGAGACTGGACATCTTCAGCAAGTAAGTCCTCAAAACTACAGCTTCTTTAATCACTGAAGAGTTTTTGCTTAATCTAGTTTCAGAAAGCTGAAAATAAAGTTATTATTATCCTAAGTGTTTAAGTTGCTTTATGGGTCATAAATTGGAAAGCATTAAAAGAGATGCTTTCCATCCTTAAACTCACACAGTAATAAGGTTGTTTTATTGAAATACTATATTGACAAAAGAACAGAGTGTAATTAACAGCCTCCTATACAGCATTTCATCTATCCTCTGGGGAAAGAAAAATTATCCTTGACAAATTAAAAGCCCTTACTAATTAGCTTATTTTATATTCAATGACCAGACTCTTAATACAGAGGAAGAATGACATCTAATGAGAACTATGAACAACCACAGAAATTGTAACAAAGTAAGGTGGAAAAAAATTGCCCTTCTGTGAAATGGCTTTAAAAATTCCAATGTCATTCACCTCAGGAAGTCTACAGAACATTATAAATATTTATATACTACAAACTACAAGTTGTGCAGTTCCTTTTTTGCAACTCCATACAGCTATTCAAACTTACCAAATTTTTCTTCAAAACAAATGGAAACTGTCACCAATTTTAGGACTGAAAACTGTAACTTCGCAGTTTTAGCTATTGCATCTTCAGGCAGCCATAAAAAAAAAAACCTCAAAGCTTTGGTTTTTTATAAGAGAAGTTAATTTATATAATACTTCTTCTTTAAAATACAAGGAACATGGTAGTAATAAGAATTAGCCATTGGAAAAAGACATTTAAAGTTTAACAACTGCACTGCAGTTTCTACCTGGGTCTTGCTGTTAATTTGAAAGATACCTGAAGCTTCTTCAGTGAAAAATCCCTCCAGGGTCAAATAAGACATAACAGTGGTTTCTGTTATCAAATCAAAAATTTTAACGCAGTAAGATACAGCCAGATAACATAATTAATCTGAATGTTAGAAGCCATTAATAGCTGTCTGCTAGATTTTTCTATGTTACAAGGCAACACTAGACATTTGCTAGTAACGACAGAAAATTAGATAACATAAAGATGCAATGTTATTAATTTATAAATTTAACTTCAAAGTAGGAAAAATATTAAATAAAAATTTGTCCAGGAACATTAATGAAAGGTGGCTACTCATTACCTGAAAGCACATGAAAATTTAATTTAGCAGGATATCATGTGTTGCCTATTCAGGAATCACCACCAGAACTTGTAACGTTTTCTGAGTATTCAGTTTAAACAAGTTAAAGGAAAGAGATAAGAGAACAGGTACCAAATTACATAGTTATTAATTTAACAATGACCTTCATATGCAATAATTATTTAGGCTCCATTTACTAGATTGACCAAATAATCTTGAGATGCACAAGCAGCTGCACTGGTCAGCAATTCCTCTACAAGATATAGTAAGGCATGAAGGTAACATCAGTAAAGTTTCTTTGCAGTAGTAGCTCTGAGAGGAGGAATAGCTAAGAATCCATAAGTAAACAACAAAATTATGAACTGTTTGCTAAATATTTTTTTATCACCAGTGACAAAAGACCATGACACGTGGACTTATTCACTATACGTGTTTTTCTCTTAAACAGTATAATGCATTGTGTGTTATCTCTCCACTGATTAACAAATTACAGACTTACTAACAGTACATGAACAGCTCCAAATACACACTTTGCAAGAGGTGATTTCTATAGCTCATACTCGATATGAAAATGAAACTACTGAAATTGTTTTTGAACTTGATTCTGCTTGATGTCTTATAAAGATATGTACTCTTCTTTTCAAAAGTAAATAATATTCATAAATGCTATTAGACTAATTTAAGAACTTGCTTTACCAGGAACATTTTTTTTAGGAAAGCCAGTAGGCTTTGAGATGTCTTTGAACAACTTCACTTATGATACATTAACATACCTGTAAGAAAGTCCTAGACTGCACCTGCTGGCTCCAGGAGAATCAAATCCAGGTTTGAAATAACAAAGGATTTTGTGAGCAAAGTAATCTTAGTATAAAATACTTCCATTATGCCTGACTGGTGTTATTAACACTTAAACACTATTTTAAAATGAAATTACTCAGGCATGTCCTTCTTTGAAATAAGAATTTCAAAATGTTTGTGGCCTCACTTTTAGTTTTCAATACTGGCAACAATTAATCACTTAATGTTAAGATTATTGTGCCATGCTTCTGCATTTTGAGTTCAGTATACAATGTTACTGGAGGAAAGTGTACCTACAGATCTGGACATTCTTTTTCATTGTATACTCCTCAGTTCAGCAAGTAATTATTTATTATGAGGGTTATATTTCTTAAGGAATTTTTGTTGCTTTTCTAACATAAGAAAAATCTCTGACAACCTAAATTGGTGTATATAGATTCATTATCTGCATAGCATACTCTGTATATTCAGCTACTTGGCAAAACAATCATTATTGGTAAATCCCATGTTATATCTGAGCACCGTTTTACTCTGAGAGCTGAATTTAGCTCCTTATGCAAATTCTAACCATCTCTGCTGTGTAGTTTAACTTCCAGAAAGTATCTGAAAGGGACCTTGCACTGTGGCTCACCCAGTGAGTCACTTCAGATGGTCACAAGCCCTCTGCTGCACAGCTTCTGACCCGTCCAAAAAACATGTGGTAACCTGTGAAGGCTCAAGTCAAGCCACAAAGATCTGGTGATTCACAACTCAAAAACTTTGATTTGTTCTCATGTTTCCCATGCATTCCTAAAAACTAAATTCTGATAGCATTGAACTGAAACATTACATGCAGCCTGAACAATGAACAATTCTTGCCTAAATTCAAAATGTCATTTATAAAAATAACTCACAAAGACTTCAGAGCTCTGAGTACAATGCTTGGTACGATTAACAGCTGTCCGCTTCTGCTGCCATCTTTGCTCCATACCATTTTACATGCACTATAAACAGCATAATCGAAACTGATTTCTCAAGCAGCTCAACATACGGTATTTCGTATTCTTCCAAGAAAGTCAAAACTAATGACAAAACAGAATAAGAGCACTTTGTAAGATTCCCACCCATACTTATACCCTATCTTTCACAGAAACTTTTCACATGAAACTTTACGTTCTAATGAGTTATTGAGCAGTGATAAAAGAGCCAAAACATTTGTCTTACTATGCTTTATTATAAGATCTACATTACAACCAAGGAAAATTTAACTACCTAAGTTTTGAATGTAGGCAGTGCTGTATTTTTAGGATTAATTTGATTTTACGTAGTAAGGGCATTACCACAATTATATTAGAGCTGGCACAATAATGTACACACAATAATATGTGTTCTGTAACAAAATTAGCACATGAATGAAGGTCACATACCCACTGCCTCAAGAAGTATTCAGTTCTGATAAATGCCAAATATTTCTTATTTGCTTTCCTGCTCCTCACATGTCTGACTTCACCTCATGCAAAATGCCTTAGTTAGAGTCTCCCAACTGTGTTAAAACAATCTGAATCTAGCAAGGTACAAAAGGGGAAGGTCTGCCTTGCCCCAGCTGTTTGTTACTGCTACAATCCCTGTGCAGGAAGCAGTAACTGCAAACAGGCTGGACCAAAAAGTGATAGTTGAAATTCCAAGCCAGAAGAAATGAACAAAATTAGTTTCCAACCAGTCAGTTCCCATCTCTGGTCTTCTGTATATCCAGCACTAGTTGTAACACAGGAGGGAGCAAAGAGGCACCTGTGCAGAAGGGAAGTCAGGACCACTCCTTTACACAGCAGCCTACACCCAGATTGACCCGCAGTGACCTTCAGCACCACGTTCTTACCCAGAGTACTACAGCATGGAAAACCTTCAGGCAGGAGTGACACTCCCTGTTCACAATATTTGAATACTTAAACACCAGCAAACTTTAAGTAACAATGTATTAAGACAATTTTGACTGACTTAATGAACACAAGCATTAAAAAAATGAGACAATTATTTTTAGTGTCTCAACAAAAACATGGCAAATCCTTCAAAGGACAGCGATAAACAGGCAGATCTCCCCAAGGAGAGCAGCATTTGAGCACACTCCAGGTGAGAATTCTGTTGGAAATGAGAGTATCTCCTCTACTATGTTGTCTAAGCTAAGTGGCAGTATTAAAAATTTGAAGAAGGAAAATTAACTGTCACCAGGTATTGATAAGGTTTTGTTTTTAAAACTTAGACTAATAACTTTTAGTAACTTGAGAGCTAAATCACTCAATCCAGCAGCTACTTTTAGAAGTCTTTAGAGTAACTGACGCTAATATGCAAGTCAATTTTTCCACTTATGTTCCTTACCACTTTTATATACTGATATAATAAAGTTGATCTACATTTATGTTTAAAAATAAAAAGTATATTACTTTCACTATTTACCAGTTAACTCTGATCAGACCCTACACTAAGATCCTGTATATTTCCCGCATTTACTTTTATTATTAAGGTCATTATGAATTTTAAGGTGTTTTATCAGCATGTCTAGTATTATCCAATTTTGAGATTTAAGCATTTTCAGATATATTAAGTAGTACCAAATACACTTGAATAAAACATTAACAGAAAGGTTTTAAGCTTATTAATTGCTTTAAGGGAAATTAAATAAAAAGTATTAAGTCGCTAATTAGTAAGCTGTTTAAAATTATGAAGGTTTTAGAAAGTGCAGCTCTGTTTCTCACTACCTCCAAGTTCTAACAGATTTTAACATAATTTTTACTGTTTTTTTCTCTTCACAAATCACTTCATAACCAAACATCAAAGCCTCCACACTCTCACATGAGATTTTGCAACAATTCCTCAGAGTACTTGTTATATTTGACAAAGAAAATAGTCAAGAAGTTTGTTAGTGCTTAGTGCTGCAGTACAGTCACTCCAGCTCAACTGCAGGCAATGAGACTTCAGAAATGAATCACATCAGAGAAGCTGATTTCCTGCTGCCTGCCAGCCCCAATAAAATACATTAACTGCTTCTCTGCACACACTCTCACAGTAATAGCCCGGTGAGAGTCAAAGAGTAAAAAACCAAATGCACCCGCGCAGGAAGTTTCAATATTCACACAAAAGCACAAATATGTCTAAAGCAAGGCAGTTTCGATGATGAGCACCAAGGCTAGACAGAGTTAAAACATGCAAGAGCAGGAACATTCCTGTTGCCATACCTAACAGCTTTTTCCAAGACTTGATAAGAGATTTTGCTAAAGATGTAACCTCTTCATCTGTGCTCTGCTTGCGTATTGCATTCACTGACATTCCAATTCTGGTAGACTGCAAAGGAAATAGAAATGTACATTATCACAAGTGACATGAAGGCAACTTAACAAATAAACATATATAAATTTGTACTTTGACATTAATTTTTACAGTATCTTTTTTCTTTTGTGGTGGGTTTGTTTCCTTTTGTCTTGTGATTTTCAGGACAAAATACTGCAAGCCTTTAACTTTAAAACATGGACATTTTAAAAAGAAATACCACAGTATTACCATCTATCATCATCATAAAAGTTTGGGGAGGGGTGGGCAGTGGTGGTGGGCACAAGGTTTAAGGACTATATTTCTATTTCAGCACTATAAGAAGCTTGCTAACTTCTTCACTGACATCATACTCTTAGAATTACCATTTAGAGCCTGTGGAAAAAGCTGTAATAACCAGCTGGGAGCAAGTATGTTTTCGGTACGTAAAAATTTTGCTGATACTGAGATTCTTTAGAATCGTTAGCACAGAGAGTTCTGACTTTAGAGAGACGCAGAACTCTCTGTGTTTAAGATTTTAAAGAATGAGCTACCCTATTTTTCTGAAGAGGCCAAGACGGTGACAAGCTTTAAGCCTTTGCCACTACTGCCACCTACAGAGTGAATATGAGAGTAAGTTACAAATCACGCCTTTCAAGACTCAGAAGATGAGGACATCAATATAGCTCAACAGTAACATTTTAGAAGATTTATGGCTAATACATACATGTAACAAGGAGAAAATTTCCACCCTTTTAGCTTCACAAGAGAAGAAAAGCATTTAACAATATAAATAAGAATTTTATTATCCTTTTTTATTCTGACTGATGACTAAATTTTTTTATCTGATGCTAAGATGATCAGTTTTGTTGCATTACCATTTACAGGACTCACTAAATATAAATTACTCTACTTATTTTTGCAATAGATCATCATAAATTTCCTTATTCTTAGAAGGAAAATTTTAATTTTTGTGGCTTGCTAAAAATGGAAATGGTTTTTCCTGTAAATTGCTTCTTACAACCCAAACAACACTTTCTGAGGCACCACAGATGTGCTAAGTGACTGGAAACATGCTGAAATAATCCTTAGCTATTTCAGCCAAGGAAACACATTAAATAACCTCAGGTCTGAGCATCAGCTCTAAACATGTATTTAACGAAAACAGATGGTTACTCACCTGTAACTAAAATGTTCCAAGATGGACTCTGCTCACCCACACACCCACATTAATGGTATTGGCCATTTCTCTTGTTATTTTGAACACTTAAATCTCAACATTATGTTCAGATAGTAAAAAATAACATGTCCTTGAAAATACGTAAAATACCACATCTGGATGAGAAAAATGTATCTACCAAAAAACCCAACCCTCCATTAATAGCTGGGCACAACAACAGCCTGTGCTTATCAGCAAAGGGAAAACACACCAACTTACAGACTTACTTAACTAAGTAAAATCCAAAAACTCAAGTAAAACTCAAAATTAACCAGAAAAATTTCTTCTTCTGATCACACAATTGAGACAGTTTATGGGAACTTTCTGAACTGCCAGCTTTCTTAGAGCAGTACATAAAAAGAACTCACCTATTTGATTTTAGAGAGCACTGGATCAGGTCTACCTGAAGAGAGGAAATAATGATCTACTAATTTATCTGCCTTCTAACTGGCACAGATAGTCACAAAAGATCAGTGTTATATTCTCAAAATTACTATATTTTAGTGACAAACCAGCTGACAGTATTTGAAATTTCCTTCGTTGTCCTGTCTGTAGAGCTGTTCTTGTGATTGCCTTTGTTAAGTGATAAACTCCAGTATTTTCATTCTTCCCCATTTTAAATTCTAGAGTACTTTACATCTGCTTTCAGAGTAAAGACAGTCAAAGACAGCATAAAAGCAGCTGTTTTCACCCTGAAGCACTGAAGCTTTGGCCAGCAGCCCTCAGTAGGTATGAGCAGCAGTGACCATAAGTAACCTATGAGAACACAAAGCACAGCACATGGTGGCAGCAGATGCTCTCTAAACCAGAACAAATGCAAAAATGTAAGGAACACAGCCAGGGAGGAAGAGCAACTACCGAAGTAAGCAGACGTGCTTCCAACTTTAAATTATAAGTGTATGAGGATAAAGAATCAGTGAGCACTGGGACCAAAGCAGAGCCAAACCAACCACTGAAGAATAACCACCCCTGGGTTTCTACATCTTGCCAGTGAACTGGCCTGAAGCCATTAACAAGGGTTGCACATCACAACCTAGTTCTGTACATGTGTGTGTAATTTCCTGTAAAACCTGTTTGTGAAAATAAAGCCTGACTGTGTCACTCACTGTTTAGCTGTGCACTAACCACAATTAGCACCAGGGACATGATGCCTTTAATGCTGTGAAGCTGCTAAACAGATTTGCAAGTCAGACCACTGGATAAATTGTGTGAGGAAGCCTACTGGCTCCCTGCCTAGCTGAGCAAGGATCAGTTTGCTTACATAAAACTCATCAGATGTAATACAGTGGTATTACTGCCTGCAATCACTTCAGTTTTCTGTGAAAATAAATGTGGCAAGAAAGACACAAGACACCAACACAAGTCCAGACTACTAATATGCACCTTCCTGTTGCACATACCTGAGAAACTAGTCAGAGGACCTCATAATTTCAGGATTAAGTAGCAGTGGTATTACATGAAAAATCATAACTTCTCTTATTACACAGGAATAACAGACTTAGCAGAACTTTTCTCAATGTAGCCAGTTTTCAAAACTTCAGAAAAATGGGTATGGAAGTATGCTTTTTCACTTTTGTTCCACATTTCATCAATTTAAACATGTTTGTCAGAAGTCTTGATCTACACAGAGGAAAATTGTGCTTCTACTATCTCATGATCATCACCCTTCCTGACACTGGCATGCTAATGCTCCACCAGAGCATTGAGTACAATTACTTTGCATTTCAGCTCTTGCTCTGAGCTCACCATTGCTTAAGCAAATTTGGGAGGCCAACAAAGAAAGCTTATGTCAGACTTAATATATTATCAAACTCCCACGAAAAAAAATAAATTTGAGTCCAAATATGTTGCTAAATGCAATCTTATGCAGTGGAACTGTTTTGAATACAGCAATGGATATTTATGAAAAGCTTCCTAACTAAGGTACAGACAATGCAGTATGCAAGAGTATCCCAAAGTACCTGAAATTACAGAGCACTTGCAGAGTGATTTTTAATTCCAAAGTCAAAATAATATTATTATACTTAATGCAAAATATAATTTGCATTAAGACCTGCACAAAGAAACTCCAAAAAATCAGGATAACCAGAGGGGTTTTCGGTTTTGTTTTTGTTTTGTGTGGGGTATTTTTTCTGGAGGGGATTAAGTTTGTTTTCTTTTTAAAGAAGAAGGCTGAATATAGGGGATAAAATATCAGAGGTGTACCAGCACTTATGCATAAAAGTGACACCTTATTTTGTCAGAAATAATATTAGTAATAACTTACTAAGTACATTCTGCAAGTATATAGGATGCATTAATCAAAAATGTTACTGCTTCTTTAAAATTTGAACTTTATGCTAATTCTTTATCTCTGACTATTCATTGCCCCTTAGAAAAAAGTTACTTTTCAGTCTTCTCCAATTTATCTGGCTACTACAGCAAATCAGGTCTCATATTTAACTCTGACATTTGAATATTTTCAGAGATAGGGAATATCTGGCTAATTTGGAATAAAAATTGCTCACTGATGAACTACGTGACAAGCTCTGAAACTTGACATGCAAGGAAAGTTTATTTTTTGAAAGAATTTGCAAATAATATATGACATATTGTTAAATATGTAAATCTAAGTAACATTAGTGAGAGTATCCATGCAGCTGGGAGAGATTGTATCCTCCATCCCTCCAGCCCAGAAGAGTAAAAGAGGAGAATATTTACCTTAAGAGATACATTATTCAGAATGAAGGGGCGGGGGGGGGGTGTGGAGTGTTTGTCAAACACAACTTGCCTAAAAGGTATCAACTATGTTTCTCCTCACAAGACAAAACCAGAACTAACTACATAAGAAAAGATGTGTCAGCTGTAATCAGGTGCATTCTCCTTCAAGAGGAAGGAAACACACCACATTTGTGTTGGAGTAAAAATGTGAGAGTCTATGTCCAGTAAATTTGTAAGCAGCTTTTCTCCCTTGTGCATGATCAAATTCACGACTGTCAACTTAATCAGAAAGACAAACTTTAAGAGTTTGCTACAGGAAGAAAATATTCAAGTGTGCTACATCAGGTGATGTGAGACTAGACTACCACGTAACAAAACTGATGCTTCCAAGGACTTTGGATTTAGGAATCTATTTAAATAGCATAACCTTCTTTCAGATCTGCTGGCTCCACCTTCTTCATTAGGGAGTTAACATTTGCAACACAACAACAATAAGAAAATCATACCTGTAGTAACTCAAGGGTCATGGGAATATTCTTAAGCTCCTTCAACAAATCAAGAGCTCCTGCCTAAAAAAAGAAAAAAAAATTAAAAAGTCAAGTTAGCAGCAATCAGGAACTTCAAATAAAATATCAACAATATAAACTTATCTGCCTTCAGGGACACATACTGGGTTCAAACCACCAGTTCTCAATTTATCCACAGAACTAGAACAAAGAATGTTCCACTTCAGAAACTCTAAGCATGTGTAGGCCTCAATTTGGAAATCAAAGTATTCACTGAAAGACTAGGGGAGTTTTACCCCATGTAACTCAAATGACAGTCAAAGCATTCTGTCAATTACTACTTAATCAGCACACATCTTCAAGGGTGCTCGCATAACAGCATCAGAAACAATCCAGACAAGAGCAGCAATTTTCAGTTCATAACAACCACATCAGTTTTAGCACAAGAATGTGGAGTTGAGAAGCTTTGCACAGTCCATCAATAATGCACACATATATATAAAACACACACAGATTTCATTCTTAACTGGTTTTGTGATGATGTGGTAAAGCCACATACTGTGGGATTTTCTTCTTCCCCTGCTAAGACTGCTAGGAAAGGTACTAACTAATTCTGGCTAAGCAGCTTTCTAGAGAGATGATTCAAGTTCAGAGTTTGTACTATTAGATGTTAACAAAGTCTCTACCCAGCTACTTTAACAATTCATTCCTTAGCAATATAGGCCTTACTTTAAAAAAGTTTGCCTAAGTGTGAGCGCTATAATTCTCTTTAACCTCTCCAACCTTGATGATTTACCAACTCTACTTCAGCAAAGCTCTGTACCATCCACTTGTGACTGCGCACGTGGGCTGTCAGCCTACACAAACCTCCCAAAGGCTGAGATGATTTGGCTGTTATTCAAGTGCACGTGGTGCTGAACCTGGAAGCTGTGAACAGAAGGGAGGCAACAACTGCCCATGCATCCAAGAGGCCATTCAGTTCACTCACAGGCTCAGTTCATTACTTTTTCTTTTTTTTTTTTTTAATTCATAAGGTTTGGAAATAAATCCCACAAAATTTGCATTTGCAAATCTGTGGAATTTGATTAACTTTCCTTACCTCTCAACTTATCCTATTTTATTTTGCATCTTGCTTACTTTTCAAATTCTCCCTAAACAACTTCTATTATAATGCCTGTTGCAAGGAAACATAAATTATTCTGCTCCACCCGCATTCTTACACTTTAACTGCTAAAGATAAAATAACTACCAAGAGGCTGAGGAAGATGGAAGTGGAACTTTGGTGTCACATCTAAAAACCCTCAGCTCTGGACACCTTCAAATGTTGGCTACAACTTCTGTTTTTCAAACACTTCTGACCCAAAGAAACCTCCAAACCCAAACATTTCACCAAATTCAACCTTACACAAATTCAATTAACATATAAAGCTAAAGCCTCACTATTTTGCCATGATAGCAAAAGTTCCATTTAATTTTTATTCATATTATACAAAACTTCTCCAGTCTTAACCAAAGAATTTTAGCAGCAGTGATGCAGGACTGAGAAATGTCACAATGTTTTCAGGTGCTAAATTGAGTTGGCACACTAAACCATATCTTTCTCTCAACAGTCATAAGCGTGGTTTCTTCTGTGCAAACACAGATCCAAATAAAGCAAGTTAATTATCTTCACTGCTACAAAACATAATCAAATTCAAGAAAATTTTCTTAGCCAAAACAAAACTAATGACAGAAGTCAATGTGCCATTTAAAAAAATATAATCCAGTAATACTTACGTCCAAACCAATTAAGTTATTAGCACACTGCACACAGATTTTAATTTTAAAATTAACACAGCTGATTGTAGTCTGCAAATTCAATATGAAAGTAACACTGTAATGCAAAGTAGCACTCTCTTCATCTCATCTTAGATATACAGTCTAGTCAAAATTCCTTTGTCTGCTATATCCCTTCCCAACTGTACATATGAAAACAAAATTATTCCCAGAGTAATTGTTTTCCAATACTAGCAACTTGATACATAACAGGTTAATAAACCATGCAACAATTAAAAAGAAAAAAAAAACAGAAAACAAT